CTCCACCTGCCAAACCTTCCCACACTCCCCGCGGTGGAGAGACTAGTCCCCCAGGGCTTCCCTGCAAATTGAGGCCCCTCTTCCGTCAGCGAAAGTCCGGCTGCCCCTCCCCCGCCTCTCGGGGATTGTGAGCTAAGAACCAGGGGTAAGAGGCCTGGGACCGGTGCTGCTGCCCCTAGCTTGGGGCTGACTCCTCTCCACCGCACAGGAAGCTGGGAAGGAGCGCGGCCCCCACCCCATCTAGTAATGTCCTGTGCCCCAGGTGAGCTTATGTGGCAGTGCTTGTCCCTTCCCAGAGGGCTATCAGCGACCAGGCCCCTTGGGGGAAGAAGTTGTTACGAAGCGTGGACGCCCAGCCCCAGCTCCATCTCTTCCATCTTTTCGCAAGGGTGGCGTTATCGTGTCGTCATTGTCAAGTAGGGCCTGGACTGGATGCAGAACTAGCAGGCAGGGAAGGCTGGGAAGGGGAGCGCCAAGGTCGCCAATTCAGAGGAAGCAGCGTCCAGAGACGCTGGCTCTCTGTTGTTGGGGGATGTTGGCCTCGAGGGCAGAAGGGTGGGGTGGGGGCAGGGAGGAGGGGGGAGGACATCTGCAACTAGAGTGATTGTGCCCTGTGTCCCATGCCTGCTGGAGAGGTCCACCTGGACTTGCTCACTAGCGCGCTGAGCCCGGGGTTTCCCGGCAAGGACCCTGCTCCTCCATTCATTGCTTTTCCTGAGAAACCTCGGGGTCATACTCAAGTCTCCCCTCGCCTGCCTTCCGCAAGCAATCCCAGTGTCCTGCCAGTTCTGCTTGCTCATGTCTCCCCACTCACCAGTCTCATGGCTGGTGTCCTTTTCTGCAGTTTCTCCCCTCCGGGCCACTTTCCACTCCCTGCCCCTATCTGACCAAGACACCCCCTTAACTAAACATCACTGCCTACCTATAGGCTGTAACTCAGTTTCACACGGCCATATCACATCTGTGGTCTCCTTACAGACCGACATGGCCTCTAGTCACCCCTCTCTCTCCCTGGGATCCAGCCTCCTCATTGTGCTTTCAAACCTGCAATTCCCTTTGTCAAGAAGTTACCCCCCTCCCCGCCGCCCCCTAGACCACTTTGTTGATCCTTAGAGATCCTCCATAAATATCACATCAGTGAAACCTTCCCCTGCCCCCATCCAGACTTAGCCTCATCTTCCTCTGCACACCTGCAGCAACTGGACATCGCCCTGTCCAGCCTCCCACTCTTCACGCTGCCTTCATTGTCCCTACACACATCTGCCTCTCTTACCAGACTCTGAGTTCTTGAAGGTGCGGCCTGGGTCTTGCTCTCTCTGTCCCCAGAACACACAGGCCTGGCATCAGCAAACATTTATCTATATATATATCGATATTGATATAGATATAAAACTTAAATATATATATATTAGATTTTTTTATTGGGGAATTGGGGAAGGGGAACAGCCAAGTTGTTGTCCTTCAGTCTTAGTTGTGGAGGGCGCAGCTAGCTCAGCTCCAAGTCCAGTCGCCATCCGGCCGCCCATCAGCAGCTCGCGGCCGCTCAGCTCAAGGTGCTGTGTTCGATCTTATTTGCGGGTGGGCATAGCCCACTTTCCCATGCAGGAGTTGAACTGGCAACCTTGTTGTTAGGAGCATGTGCTCTCACCAGCTGAGCCATCCTGACAGCTCAGCTCGGGCGCAGCTCACTGGCCCATGTGGGAATTGAACTGGCGACCCTGTTGCTCAAAGCTCTTGCTCTTAACCAACTGAACCACTTGCCCGACCCAGCAAATATATTTTTTAAATGAGTAGATCATAAGTGTTGGGTAGATGCCACATTTGTTGAAGGGGCTGAATTGTTGAGAGTTCATTTGAGAAGGCTTCTTGGAGGACAAGCTGACCAGGCTTGATGCAGGGGGGAAATGTGGCTTGGTGCTATGAGAGGATCTTGGGAAACACCAGTGATGGACTATGTTAATTTAACAGTCGTTGAACAGCTTCTATTGTCAGGCCTCAGGCTGGGCACAGGGGCCCTCCATCTGCACTCATGTTGCTTCCCCTGTAGTAGAGGAGGAAGGCAAGATAGGCGATGCCAACAGAGAGTGCCAAGTGTCTCACGGCGCACACAAGGAGATGTGGCAGGGCAGAGGAGGAGCACCTCACAGGCTCAAGGCGGGTGTCAGGCTTCCCAAGGGGACCACCACTCAACCCAAGACCAGAGGGAGGGCTAGAGAAGGAGTCAAGGAGCAAGACAGAGAGGAGGCTGAGAGTTAGCAGGGCTCCATCATGAAGGGGTTGAATGCCAAACGAAGGAGTTGGACTCCATCCTGAGGACACTGGGGAGGCACTGCTGGCTTTCAAGAAGCTGGGGACTGACATGATCTAGTCCTGCAGGCCACTGCTGTGCAATCTCTGATCCCCTCCTCTGAGGAGCCTTTTCTAAGCCCCGCGACACACTAGGCCCCTCTTTTATGCTGCCTTAGCATTCCTGGTCATGTCTCCTTTTCTGTGCAAGGTTGAATTCCTCTGCTAGACTGAGCTCCTTGACAGATGACACCAGGTCTTAATATGCTCTGTGTCCTAAGCACCAGGTACCAAATTTTGCTCAGGACCAAATGTTTGCTGAATGAATGGACTGTTCCTTTTTCCTCTGGGTTTCTATAGCCCTTACTTTCAGGTATATATATATATATACACACACACACACACACACACACACACACACACACACACACACACACACACATATATATCTCCTTTCACACCTGGGACCTGTGCATTATGCTAAAAACAGCATTTAATTGGGAAAGAGGAGACCGGATTCAAACCCTGGCTCCACCATTTACTGGGATAAACACTTAACTATCCTGACCTGTTTCCTCATCTATAAGATGAGGTACCACCAGGAACAGAGTAAGTCCCCATATGCATGCTTGAGTCCTGTTTTCCTGGATAGCCTGGAAGTTCCATGAAGACAGAGGCCAAGGGTTTTCCCAGCACTTAGCTCAGTCTGAGCTTACAACGAATACAGTGCTCAGTCCTGTTGGTTGGCAGACAGCAGAGTACAGAGGAAACTTACAGGAGTTGTAAGTCTTGCTCTGCCACTTCCGGTATGTCCCTGAGCGAGGCTCTCCCCTCTCTGGGCCTTCTTTGCCTTACCTGGCAAGCAAATAGGGATAGTGACCCTTATCTGGCAGACCTCACAGTACCAATGGAAACCACAGAGGTAAAAGTGCTCTGTGAATGAAAGAGCTAACATAGTAGACAATTGATCATTGATTTAAAAAACAAAACAAAACTGTGAACTAGTACAGATGAGGCATGTCTGGTAATCAGTAGACAGACCTCAGGCATCTGCTGACCGCCTCTGAGAGGCAGAGATGCTGGGATATTGCTCTTGCAGCCAACAGTGGGCTAATGTGGAACAGAGGTGTTTGGTCTTGCTGGGGTCAGCCCTAGGGCTCAGGAGAGACCGGGGTGGGAGGATTTGTGAGAAAGGAGTGTGCACCCAGTCCTTTGCCCCTCCCCCCGCACCCCATATTTCTCTGCCTCACATTGCTTCCTGTCTTAGGTGTTGAGAGGCCCTGGCATGAGGTCTCAGGAGTCCCAATGGCTTTGGTGATGTGGCCACTGACACCTATGGTGATTGAAGCTGCCCTGTAGGAGCAGTGAACCATAGCATTGCCCTGATAAACTCCCGGTCCCAAACTTCAAGTCTAACCCCCCCAGCCTCTGACATCTTAGCAGCAGGGTTTATGGGAAAGGACATGATTTGTCTTAGCTGTTGCCCAGACTGGAAGGGCCTGGGGCTGTACAGGGAGCTGAGCGGAGGAAGAGTCTCAGCTTCCTTACCTCTAAAAAAGAGCAAGGATTAGGGGCGGCCAGTTATCTCAGTTAGAGCGCAGTGCTCATAAACCAAGGTTGCCAGTTCGAGTCCTGCATAGGCCATTTAGCTGTGCCCTCCACAGCTAGATTTAAACAACTACTTAACTTGGAGCTGATGGGTCCTGGAAAAACACACTGTTCCCCAATTAAAAAAAAAAAGAATGAGGACTAAGTGAGAAAACAGACATGAAAACACCTTGGAACTTGTATATTTTACTTAAGTGCAGGATTATTATTTGTGGGCAGTGTGTTTACACCAACCAGTGGGGCTTCCCTGTTTCAAAGAACATTGGGGGTCTTTCTCCAAAAGAAACTTGGTTTCACAATCAGTTTATGTGTAAGGAGTGCACATGAGTGAAAACATAGACAGGCTGTGAAAATGGGCAGGGCCAACTGCTGTGAGAGGCTGGGAGGGGTGAGGCGGCGCAGGCAGGGTCTGCCCCCGCTTGGGGAGGCTGTAACTGCCCAGCAGGGCTGGCCAACTGAGCTCCCTTGTGCCCCTACCCCACAAACCTCTTCCTGCTGAGACCTGCCTGTGTCCCCAGTGGAAGAAGTACCAGATTTGAAATCAAACAGTCAGGATTAGGTCCTACTTACCTAGTATGTGACTTGGAGCCAATATCTCCATTTCTCTGAAACTTTCTTTCCTAAAAGGGGCAGAATTATAGCACCATCCCCCAAAGGCGTCAGGATCAGAAGAGAGCACACAGTGAAAAGGGCCTTGTGTACTATTTCATGCCGGACACATCCATTTTTTTTGTTTCTCATCTCTTCCTTCCCCTGTTGGAGCTGGGCCTGCTGGTCTGATCAGGGCATGTCAGAGCCAGGACCTTGGGACACCTCCGCCGCAGCCCTGTTCTTCTGAGGGAGTGAGCCAGGCTTGCGGGACAAAGGAGCCTGAGTCTGCAGCCTGTCCCTTTTGTGTTTCCTTCCCCTCAGGTAGCCTCTCTCCTCCTGGACCACTCCTGGGGTAAGGGCATTGCCCCTTCCCAGTGTTTTTTCTTCCTGTGGGGCTCAACCCAAAGTATTGGAAGTAGCTTTGTAATTTAAAGAAAAAAAAAGAAGAAGAAGAAGGTCTCATCTATGATAAAGGTCTCTGACAAAGAACGGGGGAAGGGCCCATACTCCTTCTGCCATGGAGGGGCCAGGAGGGTCAACACATGGGCTGGAGGGACGTCTGTGCTATGGGGTAAGGGGTGCAGTCAGAGAGGGGTGGGAACTGTGTTTGTGCCGGTTCACTCGCTTTGCCGTTGAGCTTTCCCAAGACGCTCAGCTTCTGTACCTTTGTCTTTACCTCCTGGGTCTCTTCCAGCTACTTCCTGTCTGCCTCATTACAGCCAGTGAAACAGTGTTGGGAAGTTACAGTTCAGGGATGAGGTCTTGGGGAACAGGAGCTACCTGGTCCTTGGGAGCCTTTTTTGGGACTCTTTGATCTTGGGAACCCCTTGCCCCTCTCTCCTTACCCCCAGGTCAGTGCATGAGGTTCTTCCTGACCAACAGCCAGAGTCACCCCCAGATGAATGAACTTTCCTGGAAGGATGTTACCAGTGCCTTATCCCTGACCAACATGATCCTGGGGCTCTTCTCCATCTTCTGCAGCTTCTCCAAGTAGGTCTGGGGCCGAGCAAGGTCTCAAGTGAAGAGCTGGAGCCAAGGGCATGAGGGAAGGACAGCCAGGCCCAGAGGCATGATGTCAGGAGAAAGTATAGCGGGTTGGGAGTCAAGGGGCCAAGATTCTAATCTCAGTTCTACCACCAACTTGATATGTGACCTTGACTAGGTCACACCCCTGAGGCTCAGCTTCTCCATCTTTAAAACAAGGAGCTTGTACTATGATCTCTATAGTTCCTTTCAGCTATGGCAGTCTAGAATGGTGTTTATGAGAAAATCAAGAGATTCTGCTCTGGTGGCCTTTACACAATCCTTGGGTAGCGAGGCTACTATTCAAAAATTTTTTTAAAGATTTTTATTGGGGAATTGAGGAATGGGAACTCCGTTGGGAAATTGGGGAAAGAAGAACAGACAAGTTGCTGTCGTCTTGTTCTTCAATCTAGTTGTGGAGGACATTGCTTCACTGGCCCAAGTTGGCACCATCATTGCGCTCTTCCCAGGCGAGGCAGATCAGTTGCCGGCTTCTGGACAGCTGCTCACTGTGGCTGCTGGCCACTCACGCTGGCTGCTGGCTACACACGGTAGCCCATGGCAACCCACTGCAGCAGGGGTTGCAGCCTACGCTGCAGCCTACATAGCAGCCCAGCTCCAGGTTGAGCTGTTGTTCAGCATCTTAGCTGTAGAGGGCAGTGTCACTGGCCCTCATATGTGGGATCCGAACTGGGGCTCTCTGGCGTCCCAAGCCAGCTCTTAACCAATGCGCCACTCAGCCGGCCCCTCAAATTTTTTTTATTCTTAAATTAGAACACATGATCTGGTAGAATATTTAAAATTAGCACTGTTCTGGAAAATCTGAGACATGTATATGCGCATCCCCCCCAAAGTTGTAAGCTAATTATACTTCTATAAATATAATCATATTTCAGTGCCTTGCAAATCAGCTCTTTATAGATAAATCCTTTATAATACAAATAATAACATCCTCCTAATTCATTTGAATCTCTATAATCATCAGCAGGTGACGTCTATGGATCTATTTCTCATCCATAAAATAAGATGATTTTACCTGATGATATTTTAAGTCCCCTCCCAGTTTGAAAATTTTATGATTCTCTATGTCTGAATTTTTGGAATCTTATCAAGTGGGGCATACCTGCAGCAGAAAATACTTATCTTCTTAGTTCAGCCTGATCTTGTGGGAGTGTGGTTTTTATGCTGTGATGGTGGGCCCAGCACCCTTTAAACACATATGTATAGGTCTAAACAAAAGAAATGCTGAGGTTATTTGGGGACAGCTGTGGGCTGGGGCAGGCTCTCTGTTTGCTTCTGCTGAGCCACCCAAGCATTGCAATCAGGGTGTAGACTTGGGAATGGCGTGCTAGGGCAGGTTTGCCTGAGACTGTGGTAGCTGCTTTCAGGGGGTTCTGGGAGCATGTGCTGGACAGAGCATAGAGTCCTCAAATGTAGGGTCAGAAAGAGCTCTTGGAAGTCATTTACAACATCAAAATACATGAGACAAAAACTGATAGAACTGCAAGGAGAAACTGATGAATCTACTATCATTGTTGGATATTTCAACATCCCTCCATCAGTAATTGACAGAGCCAGCATGCAGAAAATCAGTAGAATATAGTTGAACTGAACAGCATCATCAATCAACTAGATCTAATCGATATTTATAGACTACTTCATCCAACAATAGCAGAATATACATTCTTCTCAAGCTCACCAAGATAGATCACATTCCAGGCTATAAGACCTTAACAAATTTAAAAGAATAGAATCATGCAAAGTATGTGCTCAGACCACATGGAATTAAACTAGAAGCCAATAACAGAAAGAAAACTAGAAAATCCCAAACAATAAACTTCTAAATAATACATAGATAAAACTTCAGCGAAATTAAAAAATATTTTTAACTAAAAGAAAATGAAAATCCAACTTACCAAAATTTGTGAGATAGAGCAAAAGCAGTACTTAGAGGAAAATTTATAGCATTAAATGCATGTATTGGGCTGGCCGAGTGGCACATTGGTTAAGAGTTGGCTTGGGATGCCAGCTCTGAGCAGCAGGGCCCCAGTTCGGATCCCACATGAGGGCCAGTGATGTTGCGCCCTCTACAGCTAAAATAGTGAACAACAGCTCAACCTGGAGCTGAACTGCCATGAGTCCCTGGCGATGGCATAGGCTGCAGCCCCTGCTGCAGTGGGCAGCCATGAGCTACCGTGAGTAGCCGTCCAATGGCCGGCAAGCAAGTGCCTCACCCAGGAAAAGGGCAATGATAATACCAACATGGGCCAGTGAAGTGACGTCCTCCACAACTAGACTGAAGAACAAAAGGACAGCAACTTGTCTGTTCTCCTTCCCCCGATTCCCTAACACTGTTCCCCTCCCCCAATTCCCCAATAAAATCTTTAAAATATAAATAAATAAATAAATAAAATAAAAATAAATGCATGTATTAGAAGAGAAATCTGCTCTATGACAGACAACATCCAGAGAATTGGAAGACAAGCCACAGAATGGGAGACAATATTTGTAAAAGATATACTGGAAAAGGGGGTCAAATACATGGTGATGGAAGGAACTGACTCTGGATGGTGAATACACAATGTGATATATAGATGATGTATTACAGAATTGTATACTTGAAACCTATGTAATTTTACTAACCATTGTCACCCCAATACATTTTATTAAAAATAAAATAAAACGGGGCCAGTCAAGTAGCTCAATTGGTTAAGAGTTAGCTTAAGAGCGTGAGCTCTGAACAACAGGGCCGCCAGTTCGATTCCCACATGGGCCAGTGACGCTGCACCCGAGCTGAACTGCTGCTGAGCTGCCAACAGGTGGCATGATGGCTCAGCTGGTGAGAGCATGTGCTCCTAACAACAAGGCTGCCTGTTCGATGGGCTACGCCCACCCGCAACTAAGACTGAACTCGGCACCTTGATCTGAGCTCCCACCCGGATGGCTCAGTGCATAGAGCAGGCACTCTTAACAACAAGGCTGCCAGTTCAACTCCCAGATGGGATGGTGGCCATGCCCATCCCAACTAATATTGTAACACAGCACCTTGAGCTGAGTGGCTGAACAGCCGGGAGCTGCCAATGGGCAGCCAGATGGCGACTGGCGCCCTCCACAACTAAGGCTGAAGAACAACAACTTGGCTGGTCCCCCTCCCCAATTCCCCAACACTGTTCCCCTCCCCTAATTCCCAATTTAAAAATAAATAAATAAATAAAATAAAACATGTTTACAAGTTCATTGACACTTCTTCCATGAAACTTTGAATCTAATTCAACCTCCCCTTAAAAAAAAAAAAGATACATTGAATAAGGGACTATTATCCAAAATAAACAAAGCTTAAAATTCAACAATAAGAAAACAAACAATTAAAAAAGAGCCAAAGGCCTTAACAGATGCCTTACCAAAAATATACAGATGGTATATAAGCATATGAGGATGAAAACATGTTCAACATCATATGTGATCAGGGAAATGCAAATTAATGAGACACTACTACATATCTGTTAGAATGGCCAGAATTCAGAACACTGACAACACCAAATGCTGGTGAGGATGTGGAGCAACAGGAACTCTCATTCATCGCCGGTGGGAAGGCAAAATGGCACAGCCACTATGGAAGCCAGTTTGGCAGTTTCTTACAAAACTAACATAATCTTACCATATGATCCGGTAATCACACTCCTTGGTATTTATTCAAATGAAGTGAAGACTATGTCTACACAAAAACCTGTACTTGGATGTTTATGATGTTTTATTCATAATTGCCAAAACATGGAAGCAACCAAGATGTCCTTCATTCGGTGAATGGATAAATAACCTATGGTAATCCAGACAATGGAATATAGTGCTAAAAAAAAATGAGCTATCAAGCCATGAGAAGACATGGAGGAAACTTAAATGCATATTATTAAGTGAAAGAAGCCAATCTGAAAAGGCTACATATTCTGGAAAAAAAAATATGAAGAGAATAAAAAGATCAGTGGTTGCCAGAAAGGGGTGGGAGGTGGGGAGAGGACATGAACAGGTAGAGCGCAGAGAATTTTTAGGACAGTGAAAACTCTATGTGGTATTATAATGATGGAGATATGTCATTATACTTTTGTCCAAACTCATAGAATGAATAACGCCAAGAGTGAGCCCTGAGGTAAACTATGGACTCTGGGTGATTATGATGTGTCAGTGTAGGTTCATCCTTGGTAACAAATGTTTCATTCTGGTGAGTGATGTTAATAATGGAGGAGGTTATGCATATGTGGGAGCAGGAGCTATATAGGAAATCTCTGTATTTTCCTCCTAATTTTGTTGTAAACCTAAAACCTCTAAAAAAATAAAGTCTGAGAAGAAATGGAAGAGAAAAGGATCTAAAACCAATAATGGAAGCTTCCACCTAGGAAACTAGAAAAAGAAGAGCAAATCGAATCCAAAGTAAGCAGAAGAAAATCAATAATAAAAATTAGAGCTTAGAGCTGAGCTAAATGAAATTGAAAACAAGCAATTAATAGAGAAAATCAATGAAGGCAAAAGCTGGTTCTTTGAAAAGATCAATAAAATCGATAAGCCTCTAACCAGGCTAACCAAGAAAAAAAGAGATAAGACACAAATTACCAATATTAAAAGTGAAAGAGGAGGCATCACTACTGATCCCACAGGCATTAAAAGTATAATAAAGGAATATTATGAACAACTGTATGCCCACAAATTTGATAACCTATATGAAATGGACCAATTCCTTAAAAAGACTTAAGCTATCAAAACTCACAGTAGAAGAAACAGATAATCTGAATAGGCTTATGTGTATTAAGAAATCATTTGGCACAAACCCCTCATTTTACAGATGGAGGAACAGAGGCCTAGAGAAGGGGGAAGTGATTTACCTGAGAATTCACAGTAAGATGGTTGCAGAGGCTGGGCTAGAACCTAGGATCCTTATGCAATTGAATGTGCCTGGAATTTAGAGTTGAAAGGGACCTTAGTGATTACTTAGGGGTTTGGGGCACCCCTTTAAGACTATGGGTTGAGAGTACGGAAGGGATATAGGGTGTGTGTGTGTGTGTGTGTGTGTGTGTGTGTGTGTGTGTGTGTGTGTGTTGTGTAAAACATTGTATATCAGGAAGGATGAGAGTGTGGGGACCTTGCAGGGGTGTGTATGTGTGCAGGTGTAGGAAATATACTCGTGCGTTGGAGATGTGTGGAGTGATTGTCCTGCAGAGACTATGTAAGAGCTGTCCTGTTTGGGTCTGCTGGCCTGCACTTTAGGAAATCCCGCTGTGCCTCCTGGATGCTTCTGGTCAGCTTTCTATTAGACATGGCAGTCAGGGCAATGACCAGACACCTCAACACCTGCTCCAAACTGGGTGAGTCCAGGCCTGAGACCCCTAATCCTTGACCCCAGAAGTACCCATGTCAGGGCAGCTCCTCCATCTTTTAACCTCAACAGGCCTTCATCAGTCACTGTCCTGTTCACATCCCTCGAGCATAGCAGAAGCAGCCTTAGAGAGGAGCTGGGAGCCGCTCAGCCTAGATATAGCCCCTCTGCTGGCTCACGTACTGATCTCTGGCCATCCTTGTCCTGGCTTTTAGCTTCCTTGTCTGCTCTGCCTCCCTGTTCAGGGCCAATCCAGGGATTGGGAGTGGGAGTGGTGGTTGTTGTGGCGGGGGAGAGGGGAAATGAAAAATTACTCTAAGCAGAGTAGCTGGTTTTAAATTCAATAAAATATTTCCATGTAAGATTTTGTTTGAAAAAGGGTTCCGTACATAATTTATCAGTTTGTATCCACTTGAAGTCCAGCCCTTGCATGTGAAAGGATGGGAGGATTAGGACCTGGACAGGGAAAGACTTGCCTAAGGCCACAGGGTCAGTCTGAGGCAGAGCCAGAAGGAGGCCCATCTTTGATCGACAGACCACCCCAGGCAGCTGTTGCCCTCTGGGACCTCAGACCCTACTTGTCACCATTCCAGCTCCCCCACCAGAGGGTGCTAAGGTACAAGACAGGTAAGTGTAAGTTCTGACCTTGGCCCTCTGGAGCAGGAGCGGAGCTGAATGACTTTGCTGTCTTCACCACCTTTGGCCTGGCCTCGGCCCTGCTCTTAGGCGTGGATGGGCCTCTGAATGGGTTCCTGGCCATCATCTATGTGTTGGCTGCTTCTTTCCGCCTGTGTTTTTATTCAGCTGGTGAGTGGAACCCAGCCTTATGGCTGAGGTCGGGAACCACAGAGGGGGAGGAGCTGCTGGATGCCAGCAGCCTGGGGTGCAGTAAATGACTCCTTTCTTTGATAAAGTCCCTCTTCCTTCCTTCTCCTGTGCCCCAGACCTACTGGAGGCTGCAGGCTGCCTTGGCAGAGCCCTGGTCTAGGGGGCAGGGGCCTTCTGTTCTTCGGCCAGCTGTGCCTTTTTCTCACTGTGTGACCTTTGGGTGGAGCACATGGATTCAGACTTTAGAACGAGAGGTCATACTTCAGTTTCCCAAAACAGATAGGGAGAATGAGCTCTGGTGAGGGCAACTGCCTCGGAGCCCAGTGCATGCGAGTGCAGATGCAGACCAGAGCTCCAAGGACCCTTCTACGGAGGCGTCCTAGGGGCCGGGGCACTTCTGGTTTCGTTGCCTGCTTCACCTTGGGATCCAATGCAAAGCCCACACATCATCTCTGTGGATAACTACATGCTTCACAGTTTGCCACTGTCCTGGGATTAAGGGGACTTGGAGAGGGGGGCGGGAAGACCCAAAGAGAGAGAGGCTTGCTTCAGGCGGATACCTTTTGAGCAGTGGGAAGCAGCTAATCCCCATCTTTTCTCTCCGTAGCAGGCATTCCCTTCACATACAAGGGTCTACCCTGCCCCTATGCCTCCTGCGTTTTGGCCTCCACCTCCCTTCTGACCAAAGGCAACACCTTCATTCTCTCTTGCATGGCCTCACTCATGATTCTGTTCATGATAGACCAGAGCTACTACCCACATGATGAAATCCTAGAGTCTGAGAACTGGAAGAAAATGGTTTATCTGGGAGGTGAGTGGGGATGGGAGAATAGAGGGTGGGAAATACATGTAAGACAGCTTCATGAAAACTGAGTGTTTGCCTTTTTTCCTCTTCCAGGTGTCGTCATGCTGCTTTTGTGTCCATTCCCACTAACTGCCTTTTACTGCCTGGTGTGGTCACTTTCCTACATCTTCTTTCCAGACGTTCTGTGGGGCAAGGCAGTGTGTCTTAGCCTACAGCACCCAAGAAACTAAAGAGCTCTACCCTCTCCCACTGGCCTCTGTGGGGTTTATGCTGGCTTGTTGGGCCAAGCCTTGCCTTGTCCTCACTAAATCTTTCCTTGTTTCTGTGTTGTGCATGTGGTAGATACATGTGGCCTTGAACCAGAACAACCCACAGCAGGGCCAGCAGCCTTCACGACCTCCCTTTTGTTCAGGGATTTGAATCCCTTGAGGACACTAGCTGTTAATGTCATGTGGAACAGGGTTTTTTTCCAAACTAAATTTGAGCCAGGTTTCAGCTCCAGCTCTAAGACCACCTGTGTGACCTTGTGCACTAAGGTTAATCCCTTGGAGAGGAGTGAAACCCTTCAGAATTAGTATAGCCTCTACCCTGGCCCTGCCCGGTTGTAATTACTCCACTGGTAGGGTGGGGTTTGGCACTAAAGCATTTTATCCTGTAAAAAATTTTTCAATTTTCAATTACAGTTTACATTCAATATTATATTAGTTTCAGGTGTACAGCACAGTGGTCAGACAATTATATAACTTGCAAGGTGATAACCCCGACAAGTCTAATACCTACCCGACACCATAGTTATTACAGTATTGACTGTATTCCCTGTGCTGTACTTTACATCCCTGTGACTATTTTGTGACTACCAATTTGTACTTCCTAATTCCTTCACCTTTCTCACCCATCCCCGCAACCCCCTCCCATCTAGCAACCATCAGTTTGTTCTCTGTATCTATGAACTTATTTGTTCTGTTTATTCATTTATATTGTTCTTTAGATTCCACATATAAGTGGGATCATATGGTACTTTCTTTCTCAGCCTGACTTATTTCACTTAGCATAATACCCTCTAGGTCCATCCATGTTGTTGCAAATGTTAAGATTTCATTCTTTTTTATGGCCGAGTAATACTCCATTGTATGTATGTACCACATCTGCTTTATCTAATTGTCCATCGATGGACACTTAGCTTGCTTCCATATCTTGGCAACTGTAAATAATGCTGCAGTGAACTTAGAGCAGAGCTAATTCCAGGACAATCAAGTTGCCCAACTTGAATGCGTGTAGGATTTTTAACTTAAAATTCTATATTTCAACAATCTAAGCTTCTGTCTTTTGTTTTGTTTAGAGAGTATACATATTGGCAGCTTGAGGGCACCATTTGGTTTCCAGGACCTCATTAGGTGTTTGTCTCTTAAGCTCTAAAATACTAAACTCTATAGATATTCAAATGCTCCTTCATGTTCTAAAATCCAGAGCAAACAGAGACAAACAGTATTGTATGGAACCCTAACGTTATATCTCAGAAAGACTGTAGCTCCACTGAGAGATGAACCTCCAGCACTGTCTCACCTGTCCACCTCCCGGTGGGATACCAAGGATTGCTGGCTGGTCCACCCCATCCTCAACTAGCACACCTGACCACCTTTTACCTAACTTCTTCAATGTTTGTGACAAATATACATTAAATCTAAAATTAGGATTTAAAAACCCAAAGAAGTCCACATTGCTGGTTTGACTCTACAGGATCAGAGAGCCCCTCCGCCCCACTGCTCTCTGTTCGTATCTCTAGATTTTATATTTTTTCATAGTTAGGTGACTATGTCTGTGTTCCACTGGAGTTTAAGTTCCTTCAGTTTATGCTTTTAGATTTGTGCTGCCTGCTGAGACATTCCAGTCTGAATATTCCCATCATAAACCCATTTCTAGGCCTGAAAGTCACCCCAAAATGAAAAAGCAGGGGCCGGCCGAGTGGCTCAGTTGTTAAGAGCGCGAGCTCTGAGCAACAGGGTCACTGGTTCGATTCCCACATGGGCCAGTGAGCTGCCGCTGAGCTGCCAACAGGTGGCAGGATGGCTTAGCTGGTGAGAGCACGTGCTCCTAACAACAAGGTTGCCAGTTCAACTCCCTCACGGGATGGTGGCTACACCCATCCACAACTAAGACTGAACATGGCGCCTTGAGCTGAGTGGCCGCGAGCTGCAGACGTATGGCTGGATGGCGACTGGGCTTGGAGCTGAGCTAGCTTCGCCCTCCACAACTAAGACTGAAGGACAACAACTTGGCTGCTCCCCTTCCCCAATTCCCCAATAAAATCTTAAAAAAAAAGAAAAAGAAAAAGCGCCTGCCATTAGCTCAGGTGGTTAGAGCGCAGGCTCATAACACCAATGTTGTGGGTTCGATTCCCACATGGGCCAAGGTACTGTGCCCTCCACAACTAGATTGAAGACAACTACTTGACTTGGAGCTGATGGGTCCTGGAAAAATGCCCTCCACAGCTAGATTTAAACAAATATTTGACTTGGAGCTGATGGGTCCTGGAAAAACACACTGTTCCCCAATAAAATTTCTTTTTTAAAAAATAGTACCTGCCCTGCCTCCCTGTTGGTGCAGGTCCAGGGCTAGCTGTCGCCCCTCACAATTAAGCAGATCCTTGCTGCCAGCCTCTGACCCTGAGCAGTGGCTCATCCGGGAGTCAGATGGCACAGACTTACACCTGTGTGGATAAAATGGAGGGCAGGAGGGGCTGCGGAGCTTCAGCCCAGGAAAAATGAGAACTGGAAGTAGCCACGTCTCTCTCCCCTCTCCTCTCCGCTCCCCTTCTGAAGGAGCAAGGCTTTCCTCTGCTCACCTCCACTTTTTCTTCCTAGTACATTCTTTTTGACTCCACCTTCTATGGCTAGGCATCCCCAAACTAAAGTATGAGCAAATGCACATTTTATTAATAGTTTATTTGTATTTTTGAAGATTTGCAGTTTCACAAGAAACACTGATTTTTTTTCTCAAACAATAGAAAAAGGTTAAAAAACAACAACACTGTCTTAAAAGAATAAAACAAGTCTCTTCAGCAAACACTGGGCCAATTCAGATTGGAGGAACCAGTGAAGCAGAAGTTACATATAGGAAGTTCAGATTTGTCCAGTTTTAGGAATAACACAAGTGTCTTCTTGTCTAGTTTTGTAAGGCTCCAAATGGGCCATCTCAGCTTAAAACTGGTAGGTCACACACAAAGCCTCCAGGGCCCCAGCTCCACTGAACGCTGGCGGCTCACTCACCAGGAGGCTGCATCTGTTTACAGAACTCGTCAAACTGCTGCTGCTCCAGTTCCGTCATGACTCTGTTGAGGGCATAGATCTGAATGGGAGAAAAACATGTGTCGCAATGGAGGCGGCCGCTCAACATATCTTCAGACACAACAGGCTGTGTCACGTGAAAATGCCAGAACTGCACCAGTAATGCAGGGACAGTGACAAAGGAACAGGAGAAGTAGATATTAATTGCATTTGGGATATCAGGAACGAAGCAATGAAGCAGGGGCTTAATCTGGCCTTTAAAGGATCAGTAGGATTTGAACAGGTAGAGAGATTGGGGAAGGGACTTGATAAGTGATAGGGGAAGGAAGGGATATTATGATTAAATAAATTAATTAATTAATTAATTAAAAGTACAGGATTCGTCCTGGAAACTTCAAGTATGCTAATATGAAGGATATTATAGAGTGGGGTTTAAGGAGCTAGAAAAAAGGAGAAAAGCGGTATGTTGGGCCTTAAATGCCATGCCAAGGGATCTAAACTTTATCTGGCTGACTTCGGAGAGCCAGCAAACGTAAGTGTGCTGGGGAGCAACTTGGTTATATGTGGGCTTTGGGAAAGAGAGCTGGAGACCATGTGTGGGATGGAGTGGGGGGAGGAGATTATAGGCCACAGATTATAGGAGGCATCTATTGCAACAGTACAGGGAGGGGGTAGTGGGGACAGGATCTAGGGCAGGCAGTTGGGTGGAACGAAAACAGCGAGAGACATTCCAAGGTAAAGGCAGGGGATCGACCTTACGCCTCACCTTTCTTTATCCTTCTAGTATCAATGTCTCCACTAAAGAACGGGAACGTCATAAAACTTCCCAATTTGTAAAAGAAAAAAATGAAGGGGCATGTTTGTGTACAGAGGAAATAACTTGAGTAATTAAGGAGAAGACAAGAAAGGAGAAAAAAAGAAACTGAGAAGTGAGACACACAGAAAATACAAAATAAGTGCAGAAATTAATGAAAGGGCAACCAAATGTATAATAGAGAGGGATCACCAAAATTGCAAGATGGTTCTTTGAAAATACTAAAGCAAACTGTGCAACCCTCTGACATGAAGGATCAAGATAAAAAGGGAGCAGACACAAATAAATACTATTAGAATTAAAAAGAAAACATAATTACTGATGTAATGGAGATTACAACAAAGCATTATGAACCTCGTGTCAATAAGTTTAGAAAGGTAATGAAATCAACTCCTAGAAAGCAAAATGATCAAGACTAGAATAAACAGTAAGTGTGAATGATCCTATAATCTTTTTATCACAAGTTTTTTTATTGTGGCAAGAGCCTATAATCTTTAAGGAAAATGAAATTCCACACAGTGATGAAAACAGTTACACACAACTACACAACGATTCTTCAAGAACATAATACCAGTGGTTAAAATGGTTAAGTTTTATGTTTTATATATGTTACCACAATAAAAACAAGTGAGTAAATTTGAATGGTTTAAGAAAAGAGGCTGAATGAAGAGAGCCAGTCACAGACAACAGAAACAGATATAAAGTTCAGAAACATGCAAAACTAGACTACACTACAAAATATCATTTAGGAGTACACACAGAAATTGTAAATTAATAAGAAACAGCAAGGAAGTGATTAGCATGAAATTAAGGAATGAGGTGAGGGTACTGCTACTGGGAAGGGTTGGGGACATGACCAGAGTGGGCCCAAGGAGAAGTGATCGGTCATGTTCTATTTCTGTAGTTGGGGGGTAGGTACAAGGGTGTTTGTTTTATTCATCTTCTTTAAGCTGCACACACACATTTTATACACACACACACACTTTTTTTAAACCTCTGCTTCATTCATTCATGCTTTAAATTTGTAATCTGCACATTACTGTCCTAGGGACTGAGAGGAATATTAAATAGCTTCTTGGAAACCACCAGATCAAGGAGGCAGGCTAGTAGGAGAAGGGGGAAAATAAAATAAGCAGAGAAAAAAAAAAAGAGACTCAAAACTGGTCAGGAGGTCCGAACTAAGGAAAAAAAGACTTTCAAGAAGGAAAGAGTCACCAAGAGTGGCAAATGCTGCTTGAACTGCCAAGTGTGCCTTCTGTTCCCAGTCACCCGCACATCTCTCATTCACAGCTAACTTTTTGGAATGCGGCATCCTTGCAGAACTGAATGGAAACTATGTCTCTGCCTCCCCACAAGGGGTCTTGTCACATTCCCCTTTCAGGAGATTACATTCCAGGCAACACAAAAACGGAAAACAGCAAGGCAGCCATAGGGCAAAGCAAAAACCAGGAGATGAAGGACAGAAGTTCTGTTTAGATGGCAGTCGTGCCCCTCAATTCCTCATGAATTAGGGATTCTGGTCATGTCACTTCACTTCAAAATGAGGATACCTTCTACTTCACAGAGTCATGGATCTGATATCTCCCTACCTCACTGCAGGAAGGATTTACCAAGGTTAAAATGTGAGTGATACCAATACCTGAGTAACAGTAAAGCCCTGGTGTAAGCACTACATGTGGTCATGCATGTGCAGGTTGGCCCCGTGTCTGCACATCTGAAGAGCTCAACTAGTGCCAGCTGCTGCTAGCGTGCAAATCCAGTATTACATTTCAGCAAGTCAACATAAACACAATCAGTTGTTCAGCTCAGAGTCCCCACACTAAAAGCAAGCCGACTGCTTGGAAGCACAATGATCCCCGATAACAACTGCTGCCATTTACTGAGTGCTCTGTCTGTGCCAGGCCCTGTGCAAGTGCTTCCCTGTAACATTTCCATCCTTTATAACAATCTTGTGAGGTAGATCTCATCCTCATTTTACCAAGGAGGAACTGAGGCTCAGAGAGGTTAAGTGTCTTGTCCAAGGTCACACGGGAAGAACTGGGATTTACAGAGGAGCTGGGATTTGAAGTCAGATAAATCCAACCTGTGGAACCTCACCAGAAGGGCATCAGTAAGGACATCTAGCCCATGGTGTGCACAAAGGACAGCCCTCCAACCACTCACCTAAGTGCAACACAGTCAAACCATCAGGGGCCTGGATCCAGGTGGGGACAGGGAGGTGAAGGAAAGGGGACGACAACAATTTGTTAGAGTCCAGGTCCCTAGTTCTCAGATGATCTGCCTTAATCCAAAGGTAGATTTCAGTTTATGGATTAAGTTCAAACACACTATTAAAATTACTTATTATGTTTACCGCCTGCCTCTCTCATTGAATGCAAGCTCCACAGGCAGGGATTCTCCTCTGCCTTGTCTGGTCATGCATCTCAAGTTCCTACAACTGTGCCTGGCACATAGTAGCAGCTCAATATTTGTTTAATGAATGGATCAGATTAACAAAAATTTAAAGCCTGCCACTGTCAAGTGTTAGAAAAGAAGTGAGCATCTCTTACATTGCTAATGCCAGTACAAACCTGTACCATCTTTTTGAAAGAAATCTGGCAACGTCTAGTAAAACTGAAACATACCCAATAGTTCTATTTCTAGTTATACATGCCCTACAGAAATTCTAGCACAGGTGCCAAAGAAGACATCTAAAAGTTTTTCACTACAGCAGTGTTTGTGATAGCAAAAAAACAGTAAAAATTTAAATGTTCATCGCTGGAGGAACGGGTAAATACTAAAGTGGATTCGTAAAACAGGCTACTGTAAGCAGTGATGAGCAATAAACTAGATTCTTACATTAACATGAATAGCTCCAAAAAACATAATGTAAGCAAAATGCAATATAAAACATGGAATTTTATTAATATAAAATTTTAAATGCCAAAGAATACTGTATATTGTTCAAGGATATCTATTAATATATTTGAATGTAAAAAATAGTGGTTGCCCATAGGGAGGGGAAAAGAGTATAAGACAGGAAATGGACAAAAGGGGGCTTCAAATTTAAATGTAATTTTTATTTATCTTATTTTAAAAAGTCTCCAGGCAACTATGACAAAATGTTAACCACTGCCAATCTGGAGTGCAGAATACCCAGGTGCTTATTATAATATTTTATTTTTCTGTATTTTTTAATTTCTCCAAAAAGGGGGAGGGGAGAGAGGAAGAAATGAATAAAACAAACAGAAAGAGAGAAAAAAGTGTATCAAGCTTTCCCTTCATATTAAATACTAAAATAAAATACTCATGTCTGGATGTGGTTCAACCTAGGCAGTGTAAACAGTTTAAGCTTTTTATTCACAAATTGATGGTAAGTTGACTGAACAAAGGACACACTGGTGGGTGGAAAGCTTGGGCCTCTCCTTCCTGGTTATGAGCAGCTACTCTCTGGGCCAAATCCAGAAGGAACATCTGGGCTGGGGTGTCTGACACTTGCTCTCTCTCACTCTGAACCCCCTCCCTTACATGTTCCTTCTCTTTCTCCTTTCCTCCTTCCCTTGGGTCGCGACCACAAAAGCTCTGCTCCAGGAGTCATCTGGAGACCTGATACTGGTCGGGGTTCTGACACTAACTTGGCATGTGACTCTGAGCTGTCACTTCACCATTCGGGATGGCAACCATCTCCTCTCTAAACCTGGGAGGACAGCTTTTTGCCTGGAAGCAGGTGAGGCTCCCCATCACAGTTCTTCTCTCTCCTATTTCTCTAGCATTGTCTCCAGCAGACAACAGGTATGCAGGTCCCCTCCTCAATCTCACCTCTGCCCTTTGTCTTTGCTTCAGCTCCTGCTGGGCTGATTTCTGCTTGGCCTTCTCAACTCTGCTGACAGGTTCTTTCACTTTGGATTTTTCTTTGCGTGCAGGTGGGTCCATGACTTCGTTTCTGAATACTTCTTAGTCAGCTCTGACCTGGATGGTACAGAAAGGGAGAAAGGAAAGGAAGAGCGGAGGAAGGGGAAGAAGATGGGAAAGGGGAAGGGAAGGAGGAAGAAAGAAAAGTAAAAGAATTGCCAATCACTCGCCTAATGCCATAGCTCAGCCCCTTCCTTTAACAGCTGAGGCTGAGTGGCCCGGTAGAAAGGGCACTGTACTTGGAGGAATAACACCTGAGTCCCATCGCCTCGACCTCGCTGGGCGTTCCCAGGTAAATCTCCCCATTCTGAGTCTTAGTTTTCTGGGACAATAGTGCATTCCCTGGCTTCCTTCCAAGAACTGCTGTGTGAAGATCAAATAAGAAAACCCATGTGAAAGCTTTTCATACACTGGAGCGTTCGGTACCCAACGTGGGACTGTTATAATTACGAGGACACCGAGGCCCAGGGGGGCGAGCCAGCCGAGGTCTCGCAGCGGGGTATCAGGGATACCCTAGCATCGCGCAGGCTCCAGCCTACGGGCTAGGGCTTTCCTCTGCTCTGCTGGACAGTTACGTCCGAGTCCTGCCTGCAGGGTCCCCGCTCTGCGACGTCCGGCCCAGGCCCGCCCCCCACCGTCCCGCCAGCCCCGGGCCCAAGCCCGGCCCCAGGGGAGGCTCCGTCCTACCGCTGCTCCCTTCGGGTGCAAAATGGCGGCGGGCGGCGTTCGGGAGTCGGCGCCTCCCCTCCCGGCCTCAGGACTTGGGGGCCCCGCCGCGTCGCAGACACGGCCCCATACGGGGAACCCTCGCCTTTCCCTACCTCCGTGCCTGCAGTCCCGAGCAGCCGCACCTCGGGTTGGGCGGGGCTGGAGGCGGGGCCGGCGCCCTCCGAGGCCCCACCCTCAGACAGAGCCGCGCGTGCGCAGGGAGCCTGTCTGGATGCCCGGCGTAGGCGTTGGGGCTGGGGTTGGGGACGCTTAACAAAAGCTCTTCCCGGGAGTATTTTCTGGGACAGCTGGAGGCTCTGGAGGGTGAGATCTGAAACCGGGGACTAGAATTGTAACTTTCTGAACCTCAGGTTTTTAATTCTAAAAGTGGGGATGCTGATTGTTGTCTTAATTTCTGAGCTTATTAGGTAGATCAAGTGAGATCCTTTTGGCCACAGTGACAGAACGTTCAAGCTCATTGATAATCTATAATATTACAATTTTTTTACAATTACAATTTTACAATTATTTACAATAACTTTACAAATTAAGATAGCTGGCTGTCATTTTAAAGTTATTAGATTAGCAAGAATTGAGGAAAATGGTGATACATGCTTTGACAACAGAAAACCTGTTCAGTCTAATAATAGCCACCTCTCTTCTGGGCTTTTTATGTGCCAGGCACTGTTCTTGGAGCTTCACATTTATTAACTCATGTATTCCTCATAATAAGTATGTGTAATAATATACATGCATAATAATATACTATTATCCCCATTTTACACATAGAGGAACAGAGGCACTGAGAAGTTAACTGACTTGTTCAACGTCACACTAAGTTTGTTCCTCTAGGGACTTGGCAAGAATTGAAACTAATGAGGTGAGGGTATAGCCCAGATGGACATTCATACACTTTCAAAGTGTAAATTGTCTCAAATTTTTTGGAATCCAGTTTAGCATTATATATCAAAAGCCTTAAAAATGAGCACAACCCCACAAAAAGACAAATACTACATGATTTAATTTTTATGAGATGTTTAAAGTAGTCAAACTCTTAGAAAGTAGAATGATAATTGCCAGGGGTTTGGGGGAGCAGGAAAAAGGGAGTTGTTCAATGGATAGAGAGTTTCAGTTTTGCAAGATGGAAAAATCCTAGAGATCTGTTACACAATGTGAATATAAATACTACTGTACTGTACACTTAAAAATGGTTTAAGATGGTAAATTTTATGTTGTGTGGTTTTTACTACAATTTTTAAAAATGAGCATAACCTTTGACTCAGTAACTCTACTTCTAAGTTAGTCTAACTAAATAATCAGTAAAATACTGGTAACAACAAAAACATTTATAATAGGGGTTGATTAAATAAATTTTAGGATAGCTATAATGGGATTCTATGTAGCCATTAAAATGACATAGAAGAATGTTTATTGGCATAATATAACAATCACAATATTTGTTTTATTGTTTCAAAAATATTATCATATGCACATGAAAAGAGGCTGGATGAAAACAAACCAAAATGTAAATCCTGATTACTTTAAGAGTAGAGGTTACTTTTATCTTTTTTGTGCTTTTCTGTATTTTCCAAAATTTCTACATTTTGGACATTTATATTTTAGCAAGATTTATACTGTCTCTTTTCAATCAGAGGAAGTATAATAAATGTTATGTTTAAAATTCTATATAAATGTTAATCGGATTATCATTAATAAAATAACCAAGCCAGATTCGATTTCAGAAATCTTTGCATAATAGTGGTACTTTACATTTGTGTCATGTTGTACAGTTTATATAGCTCATGCAACCTCTGGGTTAGATTACAGCTGGAGACAGGGACTTTTGGTAGGCTTTAAAAAGCCAATTAAGCAGATTGGAAGGAGTGGAAAAACCAAACTAAAAGACTGGAAAAATAGTGGAGCCACTGATAAATGTGAAGGTATGATGAGTTGGCTAGGGAAAGGATGAGGAAGAGGATAAGTTAGAGGTGTGTGTGTGAGAAAGAGAATGAGAGAGAGAGAGAGAGAGAGAGAGAGAGAGAGAGAGAGAGAGAGAAAGTTACTTTGCACTTATAGGTGGCAATGGGCCAAAATAATTGTCCAGTAGTATGTGTGGACTGGGCTTGAACAAACCATGTGTAGCAAGACATGACTGACACCACTGAAAACATGTGAACATAGACTGGATATTAAATAATATTAAGGAATTATTGTTAATTTGATAGGTGTAGTAATGGCATGATTTATGTACCTTAAAAATTATTGCTTTTGCAGCATCATTGAAAATGTCAACACAGTGAAAAAGACAACAATGGAATGTAATGATACTGGGGGACCTCCTAAAAGTGTCTCAGGGACTCCCACAGCTCACAGACCACACGTTGAGAACTGCTGTCCTAGAGAAACTTTTGCACATGTGAACCAGGAAACATGTATCAAGAATGTTCATAGCAGCATCATTTGTAAAAGCAAAAGTCCAGAAACAACCCACATTTTCATCAACAAGGGAATGGACAAACTGTTGGTATATTCATACAATGGTCTACCACACAGCAGTGAATGATTGTACTGGAGCTCTGTGACTCAGTCTGGATAAATTTCAGTCTTAATTTGTAATCCACCCAAATCAGAGTGTGAGACAAGTCCTTCCATACAAGAGTTTATTTAGGGGCCGGCCAAGTGGCGCGATGGTTAAGAACTGGCTTAGGACACCAGAGGGGCCCGATTCGGATCCCACATATGAGGGCCAGTGACACTGCCCTCCACAGCTAAGATGCTGAACAACAGCTCAACCTGGAGCTGGGCTGCCGTGAGTTGCCGGCGACGGCGTAGGCTGCAGCCCCTGTGGCAGTGGGTTGCCATGGGCTACCGTGTGTAGCCAGCAGCCAGCGTGAGCGGCCAGCAGCCGCAGTGAGCGGCCGTCCAGAAGCCGGCGACTGATCTGCCTCGCCCAGGAAGAGCGCAATGATGGTGCCAAGTTGGACCAGTGAAGCAGCGTCCTCCACAACTAGACTGAAGAACAAAACGACAGCAACTTGTCTGTTCCCCTTCCCCCAATTCCCCAGCACTGTTCCCATTCCCCCAATTCCCCAATAAAAAATAAAAAAAATTAAAAAAAAGAGTTTATTTAGGAGGTGATTCCAGGAATCAGAAATATCGAGTGAGAAGAAAAGTGAGAAAAACCAATCAAATGTGCATTATTGAGCTACTGATGACCATGGGCTACTGTGCTCCTCCCATCTGGAACTGTCTGAGAATCATGTAGACTACGGTTCAGAACATTCCCTCTGAGGGGGCGAGGCTGGAACATTTTCCACTGACTCCTGACACCACAGGTTGATCCCCTAGGGCATCAACTTTCCTGAACTCCTGGGCTGACAGGCTTTGTAGAGAGCCTGAGTCGAATGAGCAAAGAGCTGCTGTGGCCTTTGGGGTGGCCTGATGGTAGCTTGTCAGCAAGTCTCAACTACCCCGAACGAGACCAGCTCCCTCAACCGAGTGCCCCTGGCTCGTCAGCCAGGAGCTCACCAAACCGGTCCCTGAGAGGATTGGGTGGGAGATGAGAAACAAAAGAGAACAAAGTGCGGGGACAGGAGGGGCTCAGTCTGCTGGTGGCAAAACTGAGACCTCGTTTATTGGGCATACAAGATTTTTAAGGGGAAGCGATTTCCTCATTTTAGGGAGTGATCCCCTAAAGCTAAAACTCATGGGCTGAGGAGAAACAATTTCTCCTCAG